GCCCCGCCGGCCGGCTCCTCCAGCACACGCCTCCAATACAAAGAGCAGCGCACAAAAGCCCAGCGACTCCTCGCGGGGCTCGCCAGGCAACCTCAGGCTCAGGCTGCCTCTGGTGGCGGGTGCTTCTCGGGGCTCCCCAGTGGGACCCTGGGGCGAACGGGGGAAGCTCTGGTTGTGCCGAGTTGCGGGGGCCCCGGGCCCAGCATCCTGGGGGCCTGGATGTCTGGGCTCCCGACTTTGGCTCTGTGAGCCCCCTCTTCCAACCGGGCCCCTGGTGGCCGCAGCGGCACCTGGCAGGGCCGTCGCCCAGCCACCTGCCTGGCCCAAAGTGGCGAAGGCCGGGAAGACCTGGGGGTGGGGGTCGCAGGCAGGGAGAGGGCAAGATGACAAACACCGCCTCATCTGCCAGATCGAGTACGTTTAGCGGAATCCCCGTCCGGCCCGTGAGCAAAAACTCACCATGTAGCCACGTGGTGTGGGTGGGAGCAGGCAGCGGGGACAGACTGACAGGGCCCCTGGCGCGGTTGCCCGGGTGACAGGGACACACTGATAAAATCTAACATGGAACCTCGATGACAGCAGCTCATTGGCTGCCGGGAGGGAACTCCCGTGGGCTGCAGGGGGGCAGCCAGCCAGCCAGGGACATTGTTGGCCAGGGTCCAGGAACCACAGGCAGAACGGGTCACAGGCGGCCGAGCGGAACCACCGGGCCCAGCCTCGCCCCCGCCCATCCTGGAAGGTCCAGCTCCCACTCTGGACGCCCCGTGGTCCCTTCCCTACACACCCGCCACAGGGACCTCAAAATGCCTCTCTTCTGCACCACACCCTCACGCAGCACCCCCTGCTCTCAGAGTAAAGGCCAAACTCCCGATCATCCACTGGCCTGCAGTGCCCAGGCTCCTACAGACCATCTGCCTGCTCTGCGGCTCCCGGTGCCCAGACCCCTGGCTCCTGTCAGGTCCCCAGATCCACCTCCGCCTTCTGGGCCCTTCCTCTGCTAGATAATGCCGTCCCCGCTCCTCTACACCCTCCAGACCGCACCTCCAGCCCCCTCAGAGCCTCCCTGACCATCTGAGCCCCCCGCATCCCCCACCCCGGCTTTCTCCCTGGGACACGCCGTCCTCTGCAAGGACCATTTATTTACTTGTCTGCTTGTGTCCTGCCTCCTTCTCCCAGACCTGCAGCACCAGCACCACAGCCCAGCCAGGCTCGGCGCAGTGTCGGGCCAGTGCAGGCGCCCGATCGCCGTCTGGTGCAGGGGTTTAGGGTCTTGGACGGCGGGACGGCAGGGCACTCCTGAATGCACCACACTCACCCCGCCTGCTCCCTGGGTCCCCTCGTTTGCTCAACACTGTTTAAAAAGCAGTGGTCTTATCGCATCTTCGTAAGGAGGGCTCGCTGCCCCTCTCCATCCATAGATGAAGAAACAGAGGCTCGGAGAAGACCCCATCCCTGTGTATGAGGGATGACATCCAGGCACGTTGGCCTCAGACAAGAGCTGGTGCCACAGGAGGGCTGGGCCTGCGGATCCCACGCAGGCTGTCTGGCACCCAAGGCTGGGTGTGGAACCGGGCCTGATCCCATCCCCCACCCCCTCCCCTGTGCTGGCAAAGCCAAAAACAATGCCATCAGCCTCAGGAGGGTGTTTCTCCATCCGGGCAATCGTGCCACCACCTCCTGCCCCCACAGGACACTGGCCACACCTGGGGACACTTTGAGTTGCCACAGTGGGGAGGGACTTGCACTGAGATGCTGTCAGACGTCCCACAGCGCACAGGACAGCCCCCCACCAGGAACGACCCAGCCGAGCAGCTCTGGAGAGCGGCCCTCCCTCGGGAGTGGATGGAAAGGCGTTCCCAGGGGCTCCGTGGAGGCTCCCAATTACCAATGGGGAGTGTGAGGCCCAGGGAGGGGAGGGGGCTGCAGCCAGCATCGTTAGGACGGCCGGGCTGGACGCAGGTGGGGCGCAGTCCACCGCCCAGGCTGGGGAGAGGTGAGCCGCTGGGTAACTGGGCTGACGGCCAGGGCAGGCGAGGAAGGAGGGCAGGGGGCCCGTTTCCAGCCGGCAGAGCCAGCCTCCCACCCCTCCCCCAACAGGACATCAGCTTCCCTCTCACGCCGGCCCAGCAGAGGAAGCCGGCTGTGCCTTTGAAAGGAGGCAATTACTGGCTGGGACCTTTGTTTCTGAATTCCCAGGCTGTGAGCAGGCCTCAGACCCTCCTCCGGTGGGACCGGCCAGCTCAGAGTCTCCCACGAAGCCGCCAGGCCAGTGGCCCTGCTGCACAGAAAGGGCAGAGGCCCGGCAGCAGCGGGAGCAGGAGGCGGGGGCCTGGGTCTGGCACCAACTTTCCTTGGGGCTCTGGGTCTCAGTTTTCCTTATCTGTGAAATGGGAGGTCTGAGCTGGGCTCTGCCTCCGTCCCAAGGCTACTGGGAAGGTGAGACGTGAGGCGAGACCGCTGGGGTGAGGGCAGAGCTCACTAAGCACCTGCTGTTGATCAAACGTGCCGGGCCAGCTCCACCTCAGGACCTTTGCACTGGCTGTCACACTGCCTGGATGCTCTTCTTGCAGACAGTCGCATGGCTCATCCCCTGCCCGCCCCCCTTTCCTTACGGTCTGGCTGAACGATGCCTCCTCCAAGAGGCCTTCCCTGACTACCTCCCATCACTGTCCCCTTTACCCTGGCTTACCTTTCTTTATAGCACTTGCGGACAACAACAACAACAACGTTGCCTGCCATTTCAGTAAGCAAAAAATGCTTCTAGTCACCAATCCACCAACCACCGCAGCAGCCCCTGAAGGTGCCCCTGCAGGGATTCGGGGGCAGTTAAGATGCACATCTAAGGAGCCGTTTCAGTGAGCCCTGACGCGTGCATCTTCCTGCACAGAGAAGCACCGCAGTCACTAGGTTGAGACGGCTTTTTCTGTGACCAGCAGCCTTCTTTGATGTAGGTCTGCCTAGCCACCCCCCACCCCCACCCCCACCCCGCCCCGTGCAAAACCTCCTCCTTGTCCTGGCCCCTCCCCGACCTCTTCAGAGCCTCCCTCAGAGGCCGACAGGCTGTCTCCCGGCCTAGCACTCTCAGTAAGGCCCCGGATAAAGCGTGACTCACAGCTTTGAGGTTACACCCTTGTCGCCACCTGACATGTTACATTAAAACTCGGCTTCTCTGTCCGTTGGCCGCCCCGCTGCAGTGTCTCTGCGCAGGCAGCGGGCAGCTGGCTATGGTCTCTGAGCCTCCAACACCTGCGGGTGCTCAGGAAATCAGGTCTAAGCAGTGGAGGGGGTGAGGTGAGGAGAGCCCAGGGGCCCGGCTCGTCCCCGCGGCTGTGAAGGCACGGGGCCACTGGCTGTGAGGCCAAGCGCGGCCAGCCTTGGGGAGCGCCGGTCACTGTGGCCACTCCCTGACCATGACCGCCCTGCCTTATGTGGCCAAGAGCGGGGCCTAGCTTTGGTGGTGAACGATACGGTCAAAAGCGAGGGGGCAGGGGACTCGCTGGAGCCCGAACACAGCCCCCAGACACCCTGGGGCCAGAGCCCACCCAGCCCCTTCCCCAGCCTGACCCCAGGCAGGGCCGCGGGTGGTCGGGGGCAGAGCAGGCGGCCTTCGACAGGGGGAAGGGCAGTCAGGGCCCAGCTGCTTACAGAACTTTCCTGAACCTTCTCTCCCCCGGGGCCCAGCCGGCCCTGCCACGACTCCCACACACACACAGGGCACCTGGGACCAGCCAGGCAGGGGCCCCTGAGTGTGTGGGTATGTCTGAGTGTGAGCGTGCAACCACTTTTGGGCTGAAACCGGGGTGTGGCCGCCAGTGTGCGAGAACCATGCACGGCGCGAGGGTCTGGCTGCCGAGGGAATGCAGTGTGAGAACGTTCTGGATTCTGGTTGTGCAGGAAATGTGCACACATGGGCACGGAGTGTGCTGCAGCACCAGGCAGTGTCCACACCAGGATCTGGGTTCAAATCCCAGCTCCGCCCACCAGCTGAGAACCCCGAACAAGGGACTTCAGTAAAACGGGCGAGGAGCTCTGTGCGGGCGTGAGGAAGTGGGAGCCCGCCAGCCCTCCCCCACCGCCAGCGCCCGCCGTTACCGCCCGCCGTGGCTGTGGAGCGTCCGAGCCCAGGACTACACGGTGTGTGGACGGCCCTGCTCTCCATCCTCCACGAGGGCTGCCGGGATGCCCAGCCCCGAGCTAGCTCAGGGAAGCAGCACCCAGAAGGCCACCCCAACCCTTCTCACGGCCCTGGCCACCTCCAGGTTTCAGAGCTGGTCACTAGGACCATCTCATCCTGGTACAGCACCTATGGCCACCTGATGGGGCAGGATGGGGAACTGCAGAAATCCCTTCTCACCGAGGCCGAGATCCTCGGGGGGCTGGGCTCTGCTCATGCCCCGCCACTGCCCCCTCCTACCTCCCTCCCAGCGCCCCGGCCACGTCCACTCCTCTCAGGGCCTCACAAAGCGTGCCCTCTCCTGGGAGAGGCTCACCTCCCACCCTCGCCAACTTCTGTCACCCCTACGCATGGCACAGACGTCCCCTCCCAGCCCACCCCAATCCAACCTCACTCCAGGACCAACTGCTTGTGCCTGGTCTTTCATGCCCCCCAGACGTGAGCAGAGACCTGCTGACCCCTGTCCAGGGGCCTTCTCCTAGGCCAGTCTCCAACCCTTTCTTCTCAAGACATCTTACAGAAACACCAAGATTCAAGACCCTCAAACACCCGCCATGTCCACCAAGCACGGGCTGAAAACTAATGGAAACTGTTGCTTCTCCCTCGGGCTGTAACCTTGGTTGTCATGGGAACTGCGGCTGCCACCCAGCCCCTGGGGGACCAATAGCCTTGGATCTCAGAGGAACCGTCAGCGGAGCATGGTCCTGGGGGGACCTTGGGCTGATCCTGATCATTGAGGGGACCTCGGGCTGAGCCCGGACACTGGGGGGACCTCGGGCTGATCCTGGTCACTGGTGCAGGCCAGGAGTAGACGGTGCAACAGTACCTGTATCTGTCAGTGGAGAGGCTGCTTCCGGTCTCCAGGGAGCTCCTGAGGTGGCAAAAGTGAGACAGGATTACTGATGACCCCACACAACAACCCCCCAGGGCCATGCGAGCTCAGGCCATGCTGGGCGGTCCCAGCTCAGGTCCTGGGGTAGGTGAGCAGCCCTGGGGAAAGCCTTTGGCCCCACGTGCGAGAAACCATGTGCTTTCTTTCCCTCTGATGGGTCAGCCAAACAGCTGCCCCGTCCCCACCCCAACACCAGGTTGGGGGTTTGCTCAGTCCCAAGGGGCCCTTGACAATGTCAAGTCCAACTGCTCCCCGTTGAATGGGGAAACCAAGGCCCAAGGTTCCACAGGACTCCTCCCAGCAGACGCTCTTTGCAGTCAGAGCTATGCCCTGGGGTGTGGCCTGAGCCCGCCAGCTGGCAGCTCTGCCCATGGGCTCCCTTCCCGCACAGACAACCCCTTTCCAGCATGAGCTGGCCCTGCCCCCTCACCCTCATCTCATCCTACCCCCGCCCCCAACCACCTGGGGCTCCCTGCTCCTGCAACACCGGCCTCACTCCTGCCCCAGGGCCTTTGCACTTGCTGTTGCCTCTGCATGGAGTGCTCTGTCCCCGATCACATTCAACAACTTCCCTACTCCTGGGTGAGGTGAAGTGGGGAGTCTCCTTTGACCCTGTTACCTGCTACAAACCGTGGGTTAGAGGTGGGGAGTGTAGTTGGGGGGGGAGCCCTGCCTGAGGCCCCACAGACGCCCCAGGAGGGAAACAGGCTCAGAGAAAGGAAATGCTGTGTGGCCAACACTCTGAGAGGCTTTCTAGGAGGGAGAGGGCAGGGCTGGGCCAGGCGGGCCTCCCCTCCCTCCCCTGCGGGGACTGTGCTGGGACCCGTGTGGGGTGTGGTGAGGAATCCTGGCTGCCAGGAAGCCCCAGATTAGGACGACCCGCTCCTGGCCGCACCGATGTGGATGTGCTGCGTGAGGCAGCTCCACTGCGATGTGACAGGGATGCCGGCAGGCGGGGCGGGGCTCCCCAGGGCGTGTCCTGCCCAGGCCCCAGGCTGCCCTGCCACCAGCAAAGGGATTCCACTCCCAGCTCCAGTCCTGCTCTGACCGCGTCATGGTCACGTGGCACCATGCTGGCCTGCCACAGACAGCCTGCCCAGCACACAGTCCCTTCTCCAAACGCTTCCTTATCTAACTGCCGTGTGAATCTCAGGAGGCACATAGCATCATGATCCCCGTTTACAAATGCTGATGGTGCGGCTCAGGGACTCCCTGTACCTGGAACACCATTCCACTCCCTACCTCTTTATCTTGCAGCAAACTCCTATTCACCCTCCAAAACCCTACTCAAATGTCAACTCCTCTATGCAGACTTCTTTGCCTACTCTGTCCCCCTAATCAGACTCCTTTCTTCCTTTTTTCCTCTCCCTCCTTCCCTGCCCCCCCTTCTTCTCTCTCCCACTTCCCTAAGAACAGTGAATATTCTTTGAGCACTTCCTATGTACTCGGCATTGGTTTTGACCGTTGACAAGTCTCCATCACAGCCTGTGAGGGAGGTAAGGTGACACTCCACCATATTGTGGCACCTGGGTCCAAGATATTGCAGGGTGCACAATATTTTCCATCAGACAGTACCTTCACCAAAGCACACATGAAGGTGGGGATGTTCTGCTGGGCATGACCTGCCCTCACAGTCCAGCAGGGCTGACCTGGCCTGCTGTGGCCTAGTCCTCAACCCTGTGGCACTGACCTCCTGATCGCCCGGTTGGGACTGTGTGAATGAGCACTCTCCCTCTTCCAGGCACCCTGCCGGGTCCACGCAGCTGCAGATTGAGGCCTACTCTGCCCATCACCCTCCCTCACTGCTCAGCCAGACTGCAAACAGGAGAGGCACAGCCTGGGCAGGACGGGTCCCAGAGCGCAGGTGCGTGGGAAGCGTGGAGCAGCTGGACTGGGAACCAATGGCCTGGGCTCAAACCTCAGGGCCAGGATGGGACAGGACGTGGCCCCCTACACCTCGGCCTCCTCACCAGGAACGAGGGGCAGCGACAACAGCCCCACCTCGCCCAGATGCTGCGAGAAAGGGAGATGCTGCCCGCGGGGGAGAAGTGCTTTGTAAACTGGGAGGCACAGGCCGGCAGGTCCTTGATACCCACACGCTGTTACTAACAGCACACCCAAGAGTGTTTATTGAGATGTTTATTGAGCCTGAAGCTTACAACGCTAATTCTGGAGCCAAGAGGGCGAGGGTTCAGATCCCAGCTTTGCCATGTACTGGCTGTGTGGCCTTGGGCAAGTTAATGAACCTCTCTGTGCCCCAGTTTTCACTCCTCTTTTATAATGCTCTGGAAGATTAAATAGGTTAGTATACTGAGAACAGCGCAGAGTCAGCATTCTATCAGTCCAGCTACGGCCAGGATAAGGCCCCAAACAGGAGCATGTTACGTTACGCATCATATGAAGGCATGCTTCCGACAGCGTGCAAATGAAATGTTAACGTGTTGCGTTAACACACTGATTCTGTATTAGTAGATGTTTGTTTTATTCACGTATGTAATATCCTCACTTACAGGGGAAACCGGGGCTCTGAGAGGCAGCCTGCTCAGTGCCACCGGCTCTTACTGAGGTGTGGTGGCTCCAAGCCCAGAGCTCTGTCTCTCTGCTGGAGCTCCTGCCCGCCCCCCGCAGGGGCCCCGAGGCATTTGGGGGACCCTGGACCAGGCTCATGGACGCGGAGCTCTGGGTCAGCCGGGCAGGGCTGCAGCCCCTCCTCCTGCCTCCACCGTGGGCTCGGGGTGAGCAGCCCGCCCAGCCTCCCCGGACGAGGGGACTGTCCTTTCCCTGGACCCCCGCCCCCAGCCCCACTTTATTGGGCTCCTGGGGAGGCCACTTCCCTCTCCCTCAGAGCAAACTGGCCCTCAGCCTCCCCGGCACGGTTTTCCAACCAGCACCCGACCACCTACGAAGTCCAAGAACAGGAAAAGCAAGCCTGCGCTGTGAGAAGTCAGGAAGAGGGTTCCTCGGGGGTGGGCTGCGCCCCCGCAGGGCCCCAGGGGGCTCCCGGGAGGCTAGGCGGCTTCTGCCTGGGGGCCCAGGTGCTGGTTCCATGACTGTGGTTCGGTTTGCGACAATTCAACAAGCCGTACGCTGGATTTCAATACAGATTTACATTCAAAAACCCCCAAACCCAAACCAGCCTGGTCCAGCCCCAGCCTGGAGCAGCAGGAACCCAAGCCTTCGTTCAGCGCTGAGGGTCCTCCTGGAGCAGCTGTGTGGCCTTGGGAAGTCCCATTCCCCTTTCTGGCCTCAGTTTCCCTCTGCTAAAAAGCAAGGCAGTGGCCAGTGCTTCCACCGCGGGCTGCGTGGTCCTCACTTGGGACGCCTCTAAGAAACACAGCTGTACTGACACCTGGGCTCCAGCCCAGGCCAGAACCTCCGGGGGCATGCTTCTGCACCTCCGGTATTTTTTTTTAAACTCTTTACTTTAAAATAACCACAGGTGGGGGAGGGTATAGCTCAAGTGGTAGAGCGCATGCTTAGCGTGCACGAGGTCCTGAGTTCAATCCCCAGTGCCTCCTCTAAAAACAAAATAAACTAACCTAGTTACCTCCTCCTCCAAAAAATAATATAAATTTAAAATAAAATAAAATAACAACAGATTCACATTAAGTTGCAATATAAAATATGCAGAGAAGATCCATGCACCCCTCCCCCCGCCTCCCCTCCTCCAGTAATAACACTGTGGACAAAAAATGCCGCCAACCAGCCAGCCATCAGCCACTGCAGCCACCCCAGCAGCGCACCCCAGGGGGACTCAGGATGGAGAAAACAGGAGACTGGCCCGAGACAGTGAAAAGGCCTGTCTAAGGCGATGCAGTTCTGCCACACATCGCTGTGTATGAGCGCCCGCCACCACGGGCGTTCCGGGACCGGTCCCTCTCCAGGCGCCACCTCTCCCTCCGCAGACACACCCACTTCTCTCCCCATCCTTCACCCCTGATGGCTTCTGTCCGTCATTTTGGCATTTCAGGATGTGCACAAAGAGGATCGTACAGTATATAACTTTTCAAGACTGGCTTTTTTTTTCCACTCGGCATCATTCCCTGGACGTTTATTCAAATTGTTCACGTATCAATAGTTCCTTACTTTTTACAGCTGAACAATGTCCCAGGGCGTGGATGTACCACAATTTGTTTATCTATTCACCCGCTGAGGGACGTTGGGCAGTTTCCGGTTTTGGGGGGCCTGTGAGGCGCAGAGCAGCTATGAGTGTTCTCCGACAGGTTTCTGTGTGAACGTAAGCCTTCCTTTCTCTGGAACACGTGCCCAGGAGTGCGGCAGCCAGGCCGCTTGGCAGGAGTGCACTAACTCTGAGAAGAGCCCACCACACCGCCTCCCAGCGGCCGGACCGTTCACGCTCCCGGCAGCAGCGTCCGAGGGGCCCGCTTCTCTCGGCGTCCTTGCCGGACTTGCAGCTGTGCTGACGGACGCGGCGTGAAATCTCACTGTGGTTTCAGTTTGTGCTGCCCTAATGGCTTTCGACGCTGACCACCGTCCCATGTGTTTACCTGCCACCTGCACATTTTGTTCAGTGAAACAAAGGTGCCCCTCCGTGTTAACAAGCTCCCCAGATGGGTCTAACCAGCTAATCCTCGAGGGCCCTCCCAGCCTAGAAAGTTCTGTTAATTTTAAAAAGAACATGTTGACCGGTGCAAGAATTCCTCCTGGCACCCTGTGCTTTTTGGAATAAACCCCTGGAGGGCCCTAGGGTGGGGTCTGGGCTGTCACGGGTGGCTCTGGGCCATTGTGTCTCCGGCTGGAGGGCGACTGTGTTTCTGAGAAGCAGGGAGAGGACAGAGGACAGGGGCAGGACAGGCAGAGGGCAGGCTCTGGAGGCTGCGGTGTGAGTGACGGGACCCTCCCGGGGCCCCCGCCCCAGGGCGTCTGCTCAAAGCCCCCAGGAGCCTGAGCAGGGGGCGGGGGCCTGGCCTGGGGCACAGGGCGGCTCCAGACAGTCACAGGCCCTGGACTGGGGTTAT